AGAGAGAGAGAGAGAGCGAGCACACAAGTTGAAACAGGCTGGTGACATTTGGTGACATTTGGTGATATCGTCATGCTAAGTGAGGAGGACAGAGGTGGGGCTGGCACGGCAATGCACATGAGTGACTGGGTGAGCATGCTCCTGGAAGGAAGCAGGAGGCAGACATCTCTCTGACTCCACAACGCTCAATTGGTGGCAGAGGTGGGATCGGAGCAAGAACCCACAAGTCTCTACAAATCAGTCACACTGTCACTTCCCAGAGAGGAAAAAAACTGACTGGTCACTAGCCAAAACTCATTTCTTTGAAAATCTCTTTCCCAACAATAGACTATCTTTCGGCCCAGCCTGGAGCGTTTGGGCTGGATTAATTTCAAACAACCCCCCTGCCGCTCTCTAGATTTCTCATCGCCGGGTTATTGGATGATTTATTGCTAATCTACCGACACAAATTCCCCTGTGCCTCTGAACTTGGCAAGGCTCTGTGCTTAAACGGATTGCTGGGAACTTGCCTTATGTGTTAAAAGTTAACTGTATGTGATGCATGAAAAAGCTCTAAAGTTATACACGGAGTATCATTAACATTACATATAGCCTTGAAGTCACATGGAGAAAGATACATCAGAAGAGGTATACATTTTAACATCATTGCCTTTGGCTGAGCGCATCTGTAAGGTCATGGGTCATGCTTTCAGAGGAGCGACTGCTGCAAGCTCATTATTGCTGTAATGCTAATGGCTAATGGCTGGTATCTATGGCCACTGCACAAGATGAGACCTGACCAATTACACTAATTTAATACTATCACACAGAGGGACCTCAGTGTGTGTGTGTGTGTGTGTGTGTGTTTTTGCGTGTTCAGCCAGGTCTTTTACAGCCATGTTGTTGGGTAAATGGAGAGTGAAGCTATAGATAACAAGGCTAATGTACAGCAAGTGTAACTGTCCACACTGCTCAACGGTCCATGAAACCATCTAGTCTCTTTGCTTCCGCACCAAAAGGGTGTTGTGGGAAGTTCACAGCCAAGAGAAGACATTGCTGCATCCTTGGAGCGCCAGAGGCTACAAGCTTGTGGACTTGTGATGTCTGTCAGGATTGCAACGGGGGGAATGGGATCAGGAGTGAGAGAGAGAGAGGACGAGAGGCTGCATGTGTGGGAAATACACAGTAGGTGAGAGAGCAGACTAACTTGGAGTGTTGGGGCAGCGATGAGAGCTGGGACCTGTAGAGAGAGGAGAGTGAAGGAGGGAGGAAGAAGAACACTCAATCAATGGAGATGGCTCAGGATCAGACCGGGGCCAAAGAGTATCTGCAAATAACCTTTTAAGCTAGTTGGAGTACGCAGCGGGTGGTGTTTTCCCTCTCAGGACAGTTCAAGTAGTGTAGTTTAGGCTGTTAAACAGAGGTGCATACAAAGCTTAACTTTAAAATACTCCCCTGTGACTGCTCAGATTAAACTGCACTACTGAGTAAAGGGCACTACATGTTTCATCTGACGAAGGAAATATTTATTTTATTACAGCTTAGGTGATATTGTCATAGTTTTGGCCATAATGTTGGTTACTAGTTAGAATGACATTATAATCATCAAAGTAATTACTTGAATGTTGGAACATGGAATGAATCTTCTCAGATTATCAGAATGGTTGGAAACATTTTTAACACGGGCCTAACCTAAAACATTGCACATGTGTGCACAAAATGTGTGCATGTACAATTAAACCAACAGTAAGGATGGTTGGTCATGTTGAACCAGGAAAGCAGGTCAGTCTGTAAACTTTGATAGATGTTTACAACAGTGTCGGTAATCATTTTACTATGTGACTTTGTTTTCTCTTTCTTTAAAACCCTTATATCTATCTGACTGCTCATATTCTTTGCTCCATTGGACTCATTTTGTTGACAATGTACCAAGATTTCAGCATTTAAGATGGTGAGTACACTTGTCTTATTATCACCTACAGAAGTTATGCCGAGAGCTACAAACACTGTTTTACGAAAACAGAATTTCCCTTTCATATACTCTTCTATGACTGCTTAGTATAAATTGCACAACTCCATAAATGGCATCACATGTTTTATCTGAAGTGTCAAACAAAAGTGAGTTAAGTATTTGCAAATACTATCTGAACCAGGTCTGCCAAGGATAAACCAGGTCAGTTACTCATAGAACCAAATGCCTGCTGTTGGAGTGCCAAAAGGTCTGTTTAACAAACCAACACACTGGAGACATGAGCTGCAATCTGCTGGACCACTTAACAACAATCAGAATCAGAGCAGTAATGTTCACCTGCTGTGGGCGAATCAAACAGAGAAAGAGCGAAAGGACAGAAGAATGGGCTGTTCAATATTCACTCAGCTCAGCCTTGGATTCTCACACATATTCGCAAGTTAGACGCAGCCTTGGTGATTTTTGATAATCACCGCTCTTGGAGCAAAACAGCGGTGTTGGAAGGGAGAGAAAGAAGGAGATAAATGTTGACGTACAGAGAGAGAGAGGGGGACAGAGAGTTAGAGAAAGAGAGAGAGAGATTACCCTACAGGGGGAAATGGAAGACAAAAGAGGAAAGAGGTGGAGTGGGAGGATGGGAGAACAAGGCTCTTAGAAGCGCCACCAACTGTAAATTTCCTTTCTGCGAGTGTTTCAAAGGGGGCTGCTTGTGTGTGGTGTGTGTGTGCTGTGTGTGTTGTGTGTGGCGAATGGAATTCTTAATTAAACCCGTGAAGAAGGCGATACCGACAAACACACACAACACAAACACACACACACACAGTAACACGCACAAGCGCAAGCGCGCATGCACCAGGGTTGACATTTTCTCTCAGCTCCATTGTTCCCTCCGCCTGGCTCACCTTCACATCAGAGGCAGCAGGACTCATTACCAGCTAGGGGGAATGAAAGGAGCTCATGGAGGGAGGAGGAGTAAGGACCGGGGGAGGAGGGAGGAGATCAGGAGGA